AAGTACAATTCACATTATTGGAAGGCTGAGGTGGAAGGATCGCCAGAGCCCAGCAGGTCAAGGGTGCAGTGGCTGGGAGCGGCCACTGCACTCCAATCTGGGCGACAGAGTGAGACTCCAACTCAAAAAATAAATAAATAAATAAAATAAAAAATTATGGAACACATATACAATGGAATATGTCGCCTTTTAAAAGAAAGAGTTACTGATAACTCCACCATGCCCGGCTAATTTTTTTTCTCTGACTTATTATAGAGATGACGTCTCATCAAGTTGCCCAGGCTGGTCTTGAACCCCTTGACTCAGGCAATCCTTTGGCTTCAGCCTCCCAAAGTGCTGGGATTAGAGTTTTGAGCCACCGCACCTGGTATCTAAGATATCTTTTTTTTTTTTTTTTTTTGAGTGGGAGTCTCACTGTGTTGCCCAGGCTGGAGTACAGTGGCACACTCACGGCCACCACAGCCTCGGCCTGCTGGGCTCAGGGGATCCTTTCGCCTCAGCCTTCCAAGTAGCTGGAACTACAGGCACATGCCACCATGCCCAGCTAATATTTTTTATTTGTTGTAGAGATGAGGTCTCACCAAGTTGCCCAGGCTTGTCTCGAACCTGTGAGCTCAGGCAATCCTCTCACCTCAGCCTCCCAAAGTGCTGGGATTATAGGTGTGAGCCGCTGTGCCCTGCTTCTAAGAACCTTAAAGCAAGTTAAATGTAGTATTTTACTAAGCTACTATATGTGTAAAAAAGGCATACATATAGTTTTAAATGCAGATATCACTGGAAGAATATTGATAGCATTAAACATCTGTCAGACACTGTTCTAAGAGGTTTTCATAAATTAAAACATTTATGCTCACAAAAACTTAAGATAGACAATATTCTCATACATGAGGAAATCAAGGCACAGAGATTAAGAAACTATAGTTGCTCTAGTTCTGGAGAGGGATAATGAAAGGCTAAGGGTCAGAGGAGAGAGACTTCTTTTCTTTTTTTTTTTTGAGTTAGAGTCTCACTCTGTCGCCCAGACTGGAGTGCAGTGGCCACTCCCAGCCACCACAGCCTCGACCTGCTGGGCTCCGGCGATTCTTCCGCTTCAGCCTTCCAAGTAGCCAGAATTACAGGCATGCGCTACCACGCCCGGATGATTTTTTTTTTTTTTGAGTTGGAGTCTCACTCTGTTGCCCAGACTGGAGTACAGTGGCCGCTTCCGGCCACCACAGCCTCGACCTGCTGGGCTCTGGCGATCCTCCCTCCTCAGCCTTCCGAGTAGCCGGAATTACAGGCATGTGCTACCATGCCCGGCTGAGTTTTTGATTTATTGTAGAGATGAGGTGTGGCCAAGTTGCCAAGGCAGGTCTCGAACCCGCAGGCTCAGGCAGTCCACTCACTTCGGCTTCCCAAAGCGCTGGGATTACAGGCTGAGCCACGGAGCCCAGCCAGAGACTTACTTTCCTTTTCTTTTTTTTGAGTTGGAGTCTCACTCGCTGCCCAGGCTGGAGTGCAGTGGCACACTCACACCCACCCCAGTGTTGACCTATTGGGCTTCAGCTATTTTTCTGCCTCAGCCTTCCAAGTCGCCGAAATGAGATGTATTTTCACTGTAGATCTTCCTCAGCTGTGTATGTGGTTGGCCATTTTATGCATTTCTTTGAAAATGTATTTGTACCATTAAGAAGAAGCACAAGAGACAATCATGAACCCACTCTTCACTAGATAGTCAATCTTACTAATTACAAATGAAAATATTTTCTCTTAGCTTCAGAAATTTTTGAGATTGATAATGCCCACAGTTGGGGAATATGAGGAAATGGGCACTCTTACTAGGAGAATAAAGTGGTAGAACTTTTTGGGAGAGAAGTCTGGTAACGGATATTAAGTTGCTAGGGCTACCATAACAGAATACCACAAACTAGGTGGCTTAAACAACAGAAAATTGATTTACAGTTCTGGAGGCTAGAAGTCTGAGTTCAAGGTGTTGACAATTTGGTTCTTTCTAATGACTGTGAGGAACAATCTGCTCCATGCCCTTCTCTTAGCTTCCTTGGCTTGTAGACGCATTACCCTTATTTCTGCCTTGATGTTCAGATGGCATTCTGTGTGTGTGCGTCACCAAATTTCCATTTTTATAGGATACAAGTCACATTGGATTACGGTCTAATATTTATTTATTTTAAATTTATTTATTTATTTATTTTGAGTTGGAGTCTCATTCTGTCACCCAGACTGGAGTGCAGTGGCCGCTCCCGGTCACCGTAGCCTCGACCTGCTGGGCTCCAGCGATCCTTCCGCCTTAGCCTTCCAAGTAGCTGGAACTACAGGCGTGTGTTGCCATGCCCGGCTAATCTTTTGATTTATTGTAGAGATGAGGTCTCACCAAGTTGCCCAGGCGGGTCTTGAACCCGCGGGCTCAGGCAATTCACTCACCTCAGCCTCCCAAGGCACAGGATTACAGGCTGAGCCACCGAGCCTGGCTTATTTTTATTTTTTGAGTTGGAGTCTCACTCTGCCGCCCAGGCTGGAGTGCAGTGGCACTCCAGTGTTGACCTGCTGGGCCCAGGTGATCCTTCTGCCTCAGCCTTCCAAGTAGCCAGAACTACAGAGTGCACTACCATGCCTGGTTAATATTTGATTTATTGTGGAGATGAGCTCTTGCCAAGTTGCCTGGGCTGGTCTTGAAACCACTGGCTCAGACAATCTACTTGCCTTGGCCTTCCAAAGTGCTCGGATTACAGGTTGAGCCATCAAGCCTGGCCTCTTTTAGTCATTTTTAAATGTACAGTTTAGTGGCATTAAGTACATTCACATTATCGTGCATCCATCATCATTATCCTTCTCCTGAACTTTTTCTTCTTTTCAAAGGGAAACTCTGAACCCATTAAGCAATTTTCCATTCTCCCCTACCCTAGTCCCCAACAACCACCATTCTACTGTTCGTCTCTAAGAGTTTGAAGTCGCTGGGCTCGGTGGCTTAGCCTGTAATCCCGCGCCTTTGGGAGGCTGAGATGAGTGAATTGCCTGAGCCCGCGGGTTTGAGACCCGTCTGGGCAGCGAGACCTCATCTCTACAATAAATCAAAAAATCAGCCGGGCATGGTAGTGCACGCCTGTAATTCCGGCTACTCGGAAGGCTGAGGTGGAAGGATCGCCGGAGCCCAGCAGGTCGAGGCTGCGGTGGCAGAGAGCGGCCACTGCACTCCAGTCTGGGCGACAGAGTGAGATTCCAACTCAAAAAAAAAAAAAAAAGAATTTGAAGTCAACTCTCTAGGTAACACATATAAGTGAAATCATCCAGTATTTGTCCTTTTGTGGTGGGTTTATTTCACTTAGCACAATATCTTCATCCATGTTGTTGAATGTGTCAGATTCCCCTCCTTTTTAAGGTTAAGTAATACTCCATGTATATACCTTCTTTTGTTTATGCATCCATCCCTTGATAGGTACTTGTATTGCTTTCACTTTTTGGCTATTGGTGATGAACATTTTTTTTTTTTGAGTTGGAGTCTCACTCCATCGTCCAGACTGGAGTGCAGTGGCCGCTCTCTGCCACTGCAGCCTTGACCTGCTGGACTCCAGTGATCCTTCCGCCTCAGTCTTCCAAGTAGCTGAAACTACATGTGCACGCTACCACGCCCGGCTAATTTTTTTGATTTATTGTAGAGATGAGGTCTCGCCAAGTTGCCCAGGCGGGTCTCAAATGCGGGCTCAGGCAATGCACTCACCTCAGCCTCCCAAAGCCGGATTACAGGCTGAGCCACTGAGCCCAGCTGGTGATGAATATTTTAAAACAGTTACAGGTAGAGAAAATAGTACAATAGTAGCCATCATCCAATTCAACAATTATCAAGATTTTGGCACCATTTTACCCCTGCATACAGTATGCATGTCTTAAAATTTAAAAAAGAACATTTTCTTTCAAATCTCTATGCCAGTTTCATGCTTGATAAAACAGCAATTCTTAGGTTATTCGGTATTATCCAATAATTTAATATCTAATCCATGATGTAACTCCCCAATTGTCTCAAAAACGTCTTTTATAATTGGTTTGTTTGAAACAGCATCTTAAAAAAGGTCCACACACATTACATTTGGCAGCTGTGTCTCTAGAGGTCTTTAGATTAAAGCAGTCGGCCCTTTTCTTTCTTTCTTCTTGATTCCTTTATGCATGTATTTACTGGGGGGGGGGGATTCGCGCCTTTTAAAGGCACCAAATACTGTGTTTTGAGGTTCTGGGACCCGATTTTATCTCGAAATGCTGCAAATGGTTATACAGGCACATTATTTCGAGATTCACATAATCCTCTTACGGTAATGCTTAACTCCTACCTGTCATATGACTGCCCCATCACAATTCCGCAAACCACAATTTTGGCCTCCGTAGATGCAGTCTTTACAGCAGGGGGAAGGTTGCTTTTCGGACGCCCCTTCCAAAGCTAAGCCAAGAGAATGGTTTTCAAATTAAAGACAAAGATAACTACATGAAAAAGTTTCCTCTGGATACAGAGGTACGATAAATTGCCAGAGAATGTGGTGGTGAGGAAACATTGGTGGCTTAAACACACACCGGAGACATTCTGGTTGAAAGAGCAGTCAGACTTGGCTTAAACGCGGGGCAGGGGAATCAGAGTCAGTAGATGGAAACGGAGGGACCTTGGGTGTAGACGCTGCCGGAGAAAGGTCGAAACTCGCTCGGCCCCTTCCCCCGGGGAATCCTCCGAGGGCACGGGGAGACTGAAGCGCGATCTGGCGCAAATCTCATAAGAGTAACTCCCGGCGTTTGAGAGGCGAGACCGGAGCCGGCAGTTCCGGGGACTGATACCTTCCGGAACAAAGGTAGAGGGCGCGGAGCGGAAGAGCCTGCCAACCTCGCCGCTTCCAAAGAGCAGCCCAGGGCGCGTCCTCACCAGGTGACTCAGACAGCGAGACTTGCTGTCCGCCACGGCCCGTACCTCCGCCGTGGGAAGAAGTCCCTGGCCGCGCCGGCTCCGTAGGGAGTCGAGGGAGGGAGCCCCTAGTCCTTGGCGCGTAGGTCCCGGCAGCGGCGGGAGCGCAGCCAATCGTTGGGAAGGAGGGCGTGGCTGGCTCCGCCTCCGGGATCCCTCCGCCCGTGCTTGCTGTGCTGAGTCCGAGGAAGACGCCATTTTGGATGTTGAGTCCTGATTCCGGAATCGGTTTGTGCTGTGTTCACGCCTGGGACCGGCTAGGTGAGTGTGGCATCCTTGGCGTCTAGGGCCTTCGTCTTCCTCTGCGCTCTGCGCTCCGGCTCAGCCGGCCCTAGGGGCCAGGGTTCAAACGACTTCGGAGGTGGCGGATGAGGAGAAAGGAAAGGATCCTGGAAGTGGGGTTCAGGCCGAGGCTCAGGCCTGAGGTGCTGCGGCGCTGGAGGCGGCCCCGGGCGGAGGACTGGGGGTCGCGGCAAGGCCGCGAGCCGCTTGGAGACAGCGGGTTCTGGATGCTCGAAGCCGGCAAACTTTTCCGTCTTCCCCCTTCCCCGAGTCGTCTCTTCCCTGCGGCGACTCGGCTTGGGCTCTAAGGCGACGCCCCTACCCTGTTTCCTCTGGCCCGGAGAGACTTCGGTAAGGTCGGGTTTCCAGTGCCCGAGAAGGCTTTCGCCGTGGTTTCCTGGGCTTGTCGCGGGGGGCCTGGCCTTGGGCCCACTTTGGCCAGAGAAAATTACCTTTTGATTTTGCTGAAGCAAACAGCGGCCTCTGCGCCCTTTCTTAGACCCCTGAGAGTGTGATGAGAGGCCTTGTGAGCAGCCTGCGGCGCGGTCCTTGCCCCCCTCTTTGTGTTGCCAGCGCTCCTCTTCCCGGGTGCTGGAAGGGAGTGCTTGAAACTCGCCAGCTTAATACACTTGAACGAGGATAGGGACCTCACAGCGTTCGTTTAATAATTAGGTAACAGGCCGGGCGCGGTGGTTTAAGCCTGTAATCCCAGCACATTGGGAGGCCGAGGCGAGAGGATTGCCTGAGTCCAGGGGTTCGAGACCAGCCTGGGCAACTTGGTGAGCCCTCGTCTCTACAATAAATCATAAAACTAACGGGGCGTGGTGGCGCGCTCCTGTAGTTACAGCTACTTGGAAGGCTGAGGTGGAAGGATCGCCTGAGCCCAGCCGGTCGAGGCTGCGGTGGTCGTGAGCGTGCCACCGCACTCCAACCTGGGCGACAAAGTGAGACTCCAACTCTGAAATACATAAATAATAATTAGGTAACAGTACTGTGGCATCACAAAAGACACAACCACTTTCACTCTCTGCAGTAGCAAACTTAAAGTCTGGCCTCAAATAACTCTTTGTGGGAGCTATGGTTTTGAAATTTTTTTTTGAGTTGGAGTCTCACTCCGTCGCCCAGGCTGGAGTGCAGTGGCACGCTCACGGTCACCGCAGCCTCAACCTGTTGGGCTCAGGGGATTCTTCCGCCTCAGCCTTCCAAGCAACGGGAACTACAGGCACGTACCACAACGCCTGGCTAACTTTTTGATTTGTTGTAGAGACGAGGTCTTCCCAAGTTGCCCGAGTTGCCCAGGCTGGTCTGGAACCCTTGAGTTTAGATAATCCTCTCACCTACGGCCTCCCAAAGTACTGGGATTATAGGCGTGAGCCACTGTGCCCGCCCTACATTTTTTTAATCGTCCAGTTTCTTAAATCTTTTTATTTTATTTATTTATTTTTGAGTCAGGGTCTCACCTGTTGCCCAGGCTGCAGTCCAGCCTCAATCTCCTGTGCTCAGGTGATCCTTCTGCCTCAGCCTCCGGAGTAGCTGGGACTACAGGCAGGTGGCATCATGCCCAGTTAATTTTTTGATTTTTTTTGTAGAGATGAGGTCTTTGTTTGTTACCCAGGCTGGTCTCAAACTCCTGAGTTCAAGCAGTCTTACTGTCTTGGTCTCCCAAAGTGCAGGGATTACAAGCTTGAACCACTGGGCCCAGACAAATCTTATTTTATTTTATTTGATTCTGACTTGGAGTCTCACTCTGTTGCCCAGCCTGGAGTGCAGTGGAATGCTCATGGCTACCGCAGCCTCTCCCTGCTGTGCTTAGGTGATCCTTCTGCCTCATCCTTCTAAGTAGCTGGAATCACAGGCATGCCACCACACCTGGCTAATTTTTTGATTTTTATTGTAAAGATGAGGTCTTGCTAAGTTGCCCAGGCTGTTCTCAAACCCGTGGGCTTAGGCAGTCTTCTTGCCTCCACCTCCCGAAGTGCTGGGATTACAGGCATGAGCCACTACTCCCCCAAATCTTATTTTATTTTATTTTTGAGTTGGAGTCTCACTTGGGCTGCCAGGCTGGAGTGCAGTGGCACGCTTACGGCTACCACGGCCTTGACCTGCTGGGCTCAGGCGATCCTTCCGCCTCAATCTTCCAAGTAGCTGGAACTACAGGCGCATGCCACCACGCCCACCTAATTTTTTATTTTTATTTTTGTAGAGATGAGGTCTCACCAAGTTGCCCAGGCTGGTCTCAAACCCCTGGACTCAGGCAGTCCTCTCGCCTCAGCCTCCCAAAATGCTGGAATTACAGGATTGAGCCACCACGTCTGGCCCAAATCTTATTTTAAATTAGTGTTGTTATTCTTTTAAGATAATTTTTCATTTTCCCTCTCTTTCTTGTTGTGTCTGACTTGTAACTGATCAGGAGCTCCAGAATCCCAAACTCTAGTATATTTAATTTGAGCTCTCTTTCTTTTCAAATACTCAGAATCTGCCAGGTGCAGTGGCTCATGCGTGTAATCCCAGCACTTTGAGAGGCCGAGGTGAGAGAATTGCCTGAACCCACGGGTTCATGACAAGCCCAGGCAACTTGGTGAGACCTCATCTCGACAATAAATCAAAAAATTGGCTGGAGTGGTGGTGTGTTCCTGTAATTTCAGCTATTTGGAAGGCTGAAGTGGAAGGATCACCTGAGCTCAGCAGGTTGAGGCTGTGGTGGCCATGAGTGTGCCAATGCGCTCCAATACAGTGAGACTTCAACTCCAAAAAAAAAAACTTGGAATCAAGTCTTAATCATATATAGCCCATGCTTCTTTTTATTTTTATTTTTTTTGAGTTGGAGTCTCATTCTGTCACCCAGGCTGGAGTGCAGTGGCATGCTCCCA